AAACGGAATCCTTGAAACATAATCAAATAGCAATTCAGATTAAAATCACCACTGAAAGTATACGCAACAGATCAAAAATCTCTAAGGAAGGAATATCAGATCTAGAGTACAGGATTGGGGCTAGTGACTATGAAAAGAAAGATTCCTTAAAAATCTTAAGAGATCATAAAAAATCCAATATTTGCTAGAAGAAGCAAAGAAGACCATCATAAGTATGAATGGAATCAATGAAAAAGCTGGAGATGGCACAAAGGCCATAAAAGTTTTCTTCACAGAATTAATGGAAGAAAACTTCCCAAACAGGATAAAGAATTTGACATGTACATAAAATGGAGTTTATAGAACTCCACACATCCAGGATGAAAGGTATGTCTATAAACCTATCTTCCTCAGGATAGTATGTATAAGCATCCATGTGTTTTGAGTAGGTGACTACAGTGGCAAAGTAGGCATAGTAACTAGGACAAGTAAGATATTTTCACTGAAAAATCATGTCTAAATTTAGCTAATCTGGAGTTCTAATATCTTAACTCTGGACATACGTAAAAACACTAATAAGATTATCTACTGAGTTAAACGGACATATTTTCTTGTTCGCTATTAAGACTTTCAAAAAACCTGCTATATTAGAATACAATTAGGGTTCAAATTTTAACATAGAGACATATGCTTATGTTTATACATATAAATACAGAAAGATATACACATATGTGTATATACACCCATATACATGTATATATAAAACTACTCACCTAAAACAGTAATCCAAGTAAGACCTTAGTACTAGTTTTAAAAACCAAACTATTAAACACAGGAAAGAAATACAAGAGAATTATCAGTTCAGTGCCTGTACTTGTTATACTTATGAGTGTTGGGTACCTGAGAGTGAATTTATTTGCTGAAATCGTCCTTGATGCCTACACATAATGGCAGATTATCATTTTTTTCTAGGTGACATGAACAACAATCTTTACACCTCTTCTGCTCTAAACTTTCTTTAGTATAATTGTAATATGAATAACTCATATTTATGGATTGTGTTGAACAGGAAAGCTTTTAACCAGGCAATTATAAAGCTAAAAATATAAAATTTCCCTATTCATCAATATTTCTTATATAATGCAACAGAAGCAACGTCAGGACCCAGGACTCCTTGGATTAAGTCTAATAGGATAGAAACCAGCATAGTTGTCAATGTTGAGTTACATAGTTACTATATTATACATTAAAATTGATTATAAATAAAATGAATAATTGCAAAAATAGATGAGATAGTCTAACAAATGAAACATAAGACACATTGTTGGGAAAAAAAACAGATGTGCTATCAGAATGAAATGGTAATAAAAGAGAAACAGTCATCATACAATGTAAAATAGAGTATAGGAAGAAAGGCCTTAGGTTTTATGCATTTTTGGTAGGATATCCCAGTGAGAGGATACACTGGTATGTGTGTTACAAATAAAACAGAAATTTGCAAAAGTTTAATGCTGAGTTTTAAGATGAAATGATAAAGTAGGAAGAGTTATGTAGTACCTACATTTATTTTAGACACACATGTTAACTTACTGTATTTGTAAAATTCCATAAACTAATTGTACATGTGTTTAGACCCTCATATTTATACATATAGTAAAACTATAAAAATGAAACAAATAATTAGAAGTTCAAAGTTTAAGAAATGTCTCTGTCTCAGGTGGAAAGAGAATACTCTGGCAGTATTAAATATTTCTAGATTCATTTAAACATTTTGCAATGCACACATGTATTGAAACATCACAAAGCACCTCATTACAATGCACAACTTATATTTTTTTGTTCATCAGTTAAAATTAATTTATAAATTTACACTTTTTAAATAGTCATGTAAGTTATAGCAAAGTGTTTTGCCAATTCAGTCACAGATGTAGGTACATACATTTCAGTATGGTTAGTAATTTTAGTTGCACCTATTAAATAATTCATACTTTCCAATTAAATAAAACCATTCCAAAATTTACATATTAATAAAAGTATATTGAGTAACAAAAGTACAATTTCCTGGAGTCACTTAAATTTTTCTCTAGTTATCAAATAAGCTGACATGAACAATACTATATTGTGACTTTCAAAATGACCTTCACTGATTATTTTCATATAACACAGCCAAAAGTTTATGAAAAATTTTCTCTAGGGAAGTTAACTTCTCAATTCATATTGCCAATGAATGTGCTTTGGCAGAAAATTTGCCAAAAATGACATTTACTTTTCGGGAAATTATGATATCACTTAATAGAATCTTGGAGTATATAGCACTCAGACAATTGTCAAATTGGTCCTAGGCCTTGAGGGATCTGAATGCTCATTAGCAGAAGGGTTATATATTAACTGAAACTTAGCTATTCATTTCAAGATGCTGAATTAAGTATAGAGAGAATGATGAAACATTCTTATTAAAGGTGGCACAATGTTCAAGGTAATATGAATGCTACAAGCCCATAGCTACCTAAATCATTTTGCCAAATAACTGGATTTAAAAATGGTTTACAATTTTGTGAGATACCAATTTCTCTTTTGGAGTTCAGACACCTTTTCAAGAATTAGATCCCTCAATTCAAGTATATCTTAAAATTTAGGAAACTCTTAGAAAAGGAAGTTAGTTAAATTCATTCTAATATCTTTCCAAGTGAAAGGAAACAGCTAAACAGTAATTTAAAGTATGTTGCAAAATATTTCAGTATAAGAATCAGGATATTATTAATCCTATTAAATTTGAGAAATAAGGTTTTGCTTTTTATTATAATGTTAACTTTGGCAAGGTTTGGGAGGCCCAATTTTTTTGTATTCACATATATAACATACCAAATTGCTAAGCAGTCTATTTGAGATGAAAAAAAAGGTAATATTCAAAATAGCAGAGAAATTTAATTACTACATTTTTACTGTTTTCTTAAGATGTTACTTGTATTTGGAACATCATTTACCTCAATTGGCAAATACGTAATTGTTACTTTTGGTTTGTTTTTCCCTTGCTTTTAGAAAGAATATATTTTTCAAAAGTAGCCATAGTCTTTGTTTTTATAATTAATCCATATTATATCAAAAATAATACATTTCAATAAATACCGGTGGCATAAGTGATTTAATGAATGAATGAAACAAGACACAGCTAGCTCCTATAATTAATGTTATTTTGTTATACGAATATATTACAAGAAACGAGACACAATATGACAAATAGTTGAAAGGCAAAGAAAATAGACTTTAAATTCTGGGAGAGTGGGGTTATGAGTGTGAAAAATTCTTAGTAATTTCATGGCATTGGAATCCATAGAAAGCTTATGCACAGAGCTTTAAAATAAAATTTAAAAAGAACCACCAATTGATATTGGATCTTGAACTTTAAAAATAATATCAACTGTTTTGTTAGATCTAAAATTTCCCAGAAAAGTCTGATGTGTTCAAACTTTGTGTTTTGAAAGTTGCCTGTATCATCAGGGCACTACACTTATCAAGGGATTCACCAATGTGAATTTAGCAGTTCAGTGTGCTCTTTAGAGTCTGGCTAGAGGCAGGTATCTGGGCCTTGACCTGGAGGCATCTATGACTGTCTGGTCCGTATTCACTGTGTGAATTTTGACCACCATGACATGAGCTGATTTCTTCCTGTCAGGCCTTTCCATCATGCCATTTCTCTCTTGCAGACAGCAAAATATTAGCCTAAATAAACGTTTTGTCCTTAAAGTTCTGGGTATTGAATATTTTGTCCCTGCAAGAAAGAAAGTCACCGAAATAGATTTTTACACACAAAGTGGGATCATTTCTGTGAACGTATCTAACTTACTGGCTTCCAGTTGTTTGGAAGACATTCTTGGGAGTAGTTTGAAAATCTGACCAGAAAAATCTAGAATACTGTTTGCCAAGGTAGGTGGGAAATTCTGATCAGAGCTAGAAGAACAGAATACTGATAGCGATGCATACAGTAAAGCTAGTCTCCGGAAGTTCCAGTTAGGAATACGAACTCCATTGGCTGTTGGACTCCTGGTCATGGGTGTCATACTCTGGCAAAAAAATCAAATGAAATCTTTATCTAAATCATGAGACTATGCAGAAGGTTAAGATTAAGTATGATGGATTTATGTGGCTGAGGAAAGTTCAAGGCGGCCCAGTAGTTCATCTATAGTTAGGGATGCTTGCTGTTTCTAGCAAGATCTGTTATGAAAACGAGAAAAAAATGACAGTTAAGTTATTTTAAAAATTTGCAGTTTCATCACAAATATAGCATGGGAAAGTTGGCAGAAAAAAAAGAGCACAGTTGTTTAAAAGATTAGCATGAAAAAAGAGCCAAATTCTTTGCATCAAGAAAATAGGAAAATTATCTGAGGAACATTTCATAAATTAAGAATATATTACCCATCACAAGACTAAAAGTCCAATAATGAAAGACTTTAGTTTGGAACTAGAGCCCTGGGGAGCCAAGTTCATTCAGTGCTATCCAGGAAAGCATTTCCCGTAGTTCAGGCATCAGATGTCTTTGTAACCATGATCCAGGAGAAACTGAAAACTGGCAGATCTGACCACAGCACTCCACATCTTCCACATTGTGCTGGTTTTATGGGAAAGAAGAATGTAAGAGCTGTGTGTCTTCTACCCAGATTTCAGAAGATGTGGTAGGTCCAGCAGTGTGGCCCTGAAAGTAAGTCATTAAGCTGTAAAGGGGAAGCCAAAAGTGTAATGGAGGCTTGAGAAAGCTGAAGATGCCAAGTCTGAGGAACACCTAGTCAGAAAAGCTGCAGGTAGTTAGCAGAACCACCCCAATAAAGGCCGCGAGGGCTTCAATAGGCAAATTCACATGGACCAGGTTTCACAAAAACTTGGGTTCTCATATGTGCTCACAACTTTCCCTGAGTGCTGGACACAGTGCTATAGAATTTAATGCTCACTATGCTGGGCTCCATTCTCACTTTGATCCAGTCTACATAACTCTCTGTATCTTATTTCAGTCTTTTGGAAAAGAAGGTTTATGATGTGCCATTATATGTTGGTAGTATTTTAAATATTTTTAACAGTGGCTCATGGCTAAGAGTAATGTCTTCAGTCTCAAAGGAAATTTTAGACTAGGACTTTTCCAAAAAGTAGTTCTTGGACTTTTAAAACCTTGGTGAGTCTTGGTGATTGGGTAACTATATTTTACACAAAGAGATGATAAATCTTTTCAGGACCAGAACAGAATTGTAAGATTTACTTAAAACATCCCCCCTAAATCTCAGGTGGGGTAGTGAAGGTGAGTAGACCGTGGAGTGAGTATGTTCATCACTGAATTCATCCTCTAATGAGTTTAGCTACTGCATGTGCTGTTAGAAGTGTAACCTGGCTAGGAGCAGGACTATGTGGGCATAAACTGAAAAGTACCATCATTCTCTGGCTTTTCTTTGCATACTCTCCCTTTTGGTTACCATGACATGAGAAGCCTTTTCTTCCCTGGTCCTTCCCCAGCAGGCCTTTGTCTCGGAGCCAGTCAGCATGAACCAAAAGAGTAAGTATTCTGCTCTTCAAATTGAAAATGTCAGGTGTTTCACCCCTGTGAACAGAAAAGACATCAAAACACCAAAAATGTTTTCAAAGAGGAAAATCAAGATAACACTTTGCTTAATAATAATAAATAGCAAGAACTGCAATACTAGTTGTATAACTAATAATACTAGTTCTTGGAGTGTGTCAGTCTATTCTTAACATGCATTTCAGTTTATTGATAATGTCACCTAGTTCTTCTATATGGAAAACTGTTTCATCTGATTCTTTGCTTTTGAGTCAGCATAACTATCTCAGAACTCGCATTTTGTTGTTTACAAACTATATTCAAATTTCTCTCTTTGAGAAACACTGAAATTAGAGTCAATAGGACTGAAAGCTATAATTGATGAAATATGATATTGCACTCTAAAATTCAATTGCAGAAACCCTAAACCCAGAGCACCTCTGAGGGGTGCTCACTCTTTTTGTGTTGCAACATTGTTCAAGAATAGAGAGCCCACATGTAGGAAGCCAGAAATGGCAGTTAATTTGGCAAAACCTACAGTCCTTGACTGCAGAAAAGGATTTTTACAGATTTAAAAATGAAACCAAACTGCTCCCTAAGTGTCAAAGAAAAAAACAAAAGAAAGCAGAGGCAGGTTTCCCTGAGAAGTCCACCTTGACCCCTCTTCAGCTGCCAGAGTCCCTGCCAGCACCTACAGCGTCACTCCCCCCTCCCAACTCACCTCCTTCCAGCCCCTGCACCAGGTCCAGTCAGCCGCTGCCCACACTCAGCCACAGAGGTCCTCTCTCCAGAGCCTTCTGTTTCCTACACTGACCAGATAGCATCATTTAATGCTTACCCACAACAGCTGTCAGCAATTCCTTCTGAGTTCTACATTTTGACCTAGAAATGAGGACTCTCAGCCCTGATGAATGAGTTACCATGACATTTCCCAAAGGCCACTTTTCCCTAGAAATAGCCCAATCAAGAACACCTCAGACATCAAAAAGGGACACAAAAGCTAATCACCTGCCATCACCCAAAAACCTGATTAAAGCATATGATGTCCATAAGAAAATTCAGCCTGATAGACAGTCATACCCTCTGGCTTCAGGCTATTGACACCAGAAAAATGTTCGTTCCATATGTAAGACATAAAGAAACCTGACTATCCAGGCCCCCTCAGCCTGAACCTCTTTTCTCCATGTTGGGGCTGGATAAAGAGGACAAACTGAGCTCTATCAAATTGGGCCCCTGAGAACCTGCAGTCACTGTAGAAGTTGGGGCAAACCTGTGCCTCCTGATAGACAATGGAACAGAACCCTCTTACCCTCCGAAGTTCCCTCTGTAAAAAGTTACCATTTGGGGCAGCTGTGACTCTTATCTCTCACTCTTTATTTCAGGCACTAACTTACAGCCTGGAAGGACACCTCACCAACATCAGTTCCTGTCTGCGAAGAGGCTTGCTCTTCAAATTAGAAGGGACCATCACTTTTACACCAAGTCAGTCAGCCTCCCCGTCACTTGACCCCTGAGAGGAACACAATGCGTGCATGAGAAAAATAACTGCTGTGCCACCAATAGTACAGCCATCACTTTGCACTCTGTGCTTCCCAACCCATACACTTTTCTTGCACTGCTCTAGCTCACTTGGTCTCAGTTGTGCTAAGGAATTAAGGACTCTCCCATTACTTGGGGGGGGGGGGAGCCGAGGACATAGTTGGGCAAGCCACCAACACCTTTTCTCTGAGACAGCCTATTTCTCTGTTTCTTTCAGCTCTGTTACGGTCTCCTGAGCAAACACTGTATACTGTCAAACTGCTAAAATAGGCCTCTCCTGCGTGTAAGGCCTGGTTGGAATCTCTGAGCTAACAATGCTACAGCAGTTGGCCTCCATATGCACTGCCTCAGACTTCTGCCACCCGCTGTCTGCTGGTATAGCTGTCAGGACCTAAAGAATATCTCCTGCCTTTGATTTGCTCCTGTCAGGCAGTTCATGTTTGTTTTAAGATGGAAAGACCCACCCAGGCATCAAAAAATTATGTGTCCTCTTTTTGAGAAACCCTCACAGATGACCTTGTTGATTTCCCATCTCAACATATTGCAGCACTTCTGACTGATGACATCCAAGCTGCCTGCTGGAAAGACTGAAAAGCTCTGCACAATGTCTTGCACAAACTGACTACAAGAAAAAATCCACAAATTTCTTAGAGCTTCTGCATCCTATAAAATGTGGGCCCTTCAGTTCACATAAACAATGATGCTTACTCAGCGCTGCCTAGTCCCTTTTTTATCTTCATGCTCTAATTGCTGCTGTCCTTGCAATTAAGAAACCTGACAAGCTCATCTTAGTCCAAGCCCTCATTGTCCAGGTGCCTCATGCTGTACTGGACATCCTGAGTAAGTGTCGACCACCCAGTCCTCACATGTGTCTGCCCACCACGCTTGGCCCACCAGATGGTGTTGGGAGCCACCACATTGCCAAGCCGCCGCATATAGGGATCATGCGGCCTGTGGTAAAGAGTAAAGCCTGAGTTAGATTACCCCTCCCATCGAACACGTTAGTTTCCTGCTTACCGCGTAAACAACCCGCTCAATAATATGTTAGCCAATCAGCTTGCCTTGCTTACTTTGATATGATTGGACACTGTATCCGTATATATACTGGTGCCACCCCTGGGGGGAAGGAGAAGCCCGGAAGGAGCCGCGGAGAGCGGACCGGTAGAGGCTTCGGAGCGAAGCACGGAAGGAGCCGCGGGGAGCGGACCAGAGGAGGCTTCGGCTGGGAGCGATCCCAGGGCAGGCTGTTCGGAGAGAAAATAAAAGAAAAGGTTGTCCACTGCCAGACTTTGTCGTGTGTCCTTCCTGCCGGCCGGGAGCGACATCGACATTTGGTGGCCCGCACGGGGAACAACTGATCACCCCCGAGACGTGGTAGTGGACAACGTTCCTTGATACAGCACTGCGAGACAGGTGAGTAGGGGATAAACCTGGGCCCTGGGTGGCGCGCACCTACAGGGTTTTTAGACTCCCCTCAGGCTCACGCGTAAGTGGCGGATTTTTGGGCCTCACGCGGTGAGTAACATATTAAATATGGGTAACGTACCGAGTAACGACACCCAGCCCTTGGTACAGGTCCTCCGGAAGCTCTTAAAGTCCAGAGACCTCAAGGTGGGACGCAAAACGCTGGAGAGCTTTTTTGAGGAGATTGATAGTTTCGCTCCCTGGTTCTTGCCCACAGGGCACTTAAACCTGCCCTCGTGGGAGAAGTTGGGCAGGGATCTTTCTCTAGCAGAAAGGGAGGGCGGGGCTTCGGTCTTCGCTCGGCCACTGTGGGAAATGATATATGCATGCTTGAAGAGCGAGGGTGGTTGCAGGGAAGGTTCTCAAGAGCTCATTAAAGTGCGTAGGGCATTCGAAAAGGCCCAGTCAGGGAGCTCCCGGGAGGGGTCCGTCAAAGGAGACAAAGATATAAAGGAGGAAGACGGGGCTCAGGCCTCGGAGTCGTCTGACTCCGAGAACGAGGAAGGCTTAGACAACGATGAGACCAAGGAGCCTAGATGCCAAGAGGATAGGCCGCTCGATAAGGAGTCGCAGGGTTCTTTCCCAGCGTTGCGCCGCGAATTGCGCTCCGCTCAACTTGGTCTGCGGAGGAGTAGAGAGCTCCTGAGCGCCCCCTGGCGCGAGAGGGAGGCGAAGCCTTCCGCCCCACCTTGGGGGCTGTTCCCGGAAGCGATCCCTCGCCACGAGGCGGCCGCGTGGGAGCTCCCTCCCCTTTCGCCAGAACAGAAAGTGATGCACGGGCCCCCATTTTCCGCCCAATCACGGCCGCCGTCTTATGCTCCGCCGCCGGCGGGTCGGTATTTTTACAGGCGGCTTTGGCAGGGGGGACATTTGTCTCATGAGGTACATCCACCACCTGGGATAGATAGTGGCCCCTACGGGATATTTCCTGTACAAGTAGCTATGGGCCAGGGACGTAATGCATGGGAGCCTTTTGAGATAAAGCAGATTAGAGAACTTAAAAATGCAGTTACAACCTTTGGGCTGACTGCGCCTTACACCATTGCCATGCTGGAGAACCTGTCTTCTGGGCCCCTCACCCCCGCGGACTGGATTCAGCTGGCAAAGGCGTGTCTGCCCTCGGGTAGTTACCTGGATTGGCGAGCCTGGTACACAGAGTTCTCTGCCGAGCAGGCTGAGAAAAACGCTGGTTGAGGAAATGGGGGCTGAGGATTTAGCTCAGCGGCATAAGCGCCTGCCTTGTAAGCAGGCAATCGCCAGTTCGATCCCTGGTACCAATAAAAAAAAAAAAAAAAAAAAAAAAAAAAAAACGAAAAAGATAAAAATAAAAAATAAAAAATAAAAAACAAAAAGGGGGAGTAAGCCAAGGCCTGGCTCCAAAGGTGCGGTTATCTATGGCATGACAATGGATGGGCCCGGATCCGGTAATCAGCTGGAACCGAGGTGCGGTTTGTGTTTTTCTGCAGGAATCGGGACGAGAACCACTGTGGGTACCGGAGAGACTGACACGGGCGACAAAGCCCTCGACAGAAGATCAGACCTGCCCTACCGGAGATCCATCACAGACCAACCAACAAGATGAATAAAAATAGCGGTAGCCCGAAATAGACAAGAAGATCCTCAGGCATATGCATGGCTCGCTCGCCTAGCCTACGACCGAGTCTAGGGACGGTGAGCTTCCCACACTCCTCCTCTAAAAAATTATGATATAGCAGGGTAGATGAGTCAATGACGGGTAAGAGCATGCCTCCCCAGCATGACTCAACCTAAGACAGGCCCTACCCCATACCGCACGAAAGCCGCTGAATTACTAGGTTCCGCCCGAACCAAATGTCGCCCCGGGGGGGATCATGCGGAGCGACATGAGTGTATGCCTGTGTGCATCCAGGTTCCGTCCGGTTCCTTCCTGGCCCTGGAAAAAGGACGAGGGCCTCGGGGCCTTGGCAGACTCGGGGACGGCCGACCCGGGCCGACGCCGAGAGCCCTTGGTGGGCCTCCTATCAGGGCATAGGCCTCTACACTCAATTCAGGACGGGCTACGATGCGTAGACTTATTTAAAATAAAAAAGGGGGAGATGTTGGGAGCCACCACATTGCCGAGCCGCCGCATATAGCGATCATGCGGCCTGTGGTAAAGAGTAAAGCCTGAGTTAGATTACCCCTCCCATCGAACACGTTAGTTTCCTGCTTACCGCGTAAACAACCCGCTCAATAATATGTTAGCCAATCAGCTTGCCTTGCTTACTTTGATATGATTGGACACTGTATCCGTATATATACTGGTGCCACCCCTGGGGGGAAGGAGAAGCCCGGAAGGAGCCGCGGAGAGCGGACCGGTAGAGGCTTCGGAGCGAAGCCCGGAAGGAGCCGCGGAGAGCGGACCGGTAGAGGCTTCGGAGCGAAGCACGGAAGGAGCCGCAGGGAGCGGACCAGAGGAGGCTTCGGCTGGGAGCGATCCCAGGGCAGGCTGTACGGAGAGAAAATAAAAGAAAAGGTTGTCCACTGCCAGACTTTGTCGTGTGTCCTTCCTGCCGGCCGGGAGTGACATCGACAAGATGGTGCCTAAAATCTGACTCCCTCTGATGGATGCTGAGTAGACCCTGCTTATGAATGCAAGTGACTCGTTCAGGACAAGTTAGAGATGCTGTTGTCACCTTGGATGAAGTTATTTTGGCCAAAACTACTACTGCTTCCTGCTGCTGTTTGGAAACCTGCTACCAAAATATTACATGAAACTCCATTAGAATGTACAATCTTATGTCTTATTGTATCATCTAAAATAAATTTCACAAAGTGAATGAAACATGATGAAGAAATGTTCAGATAAAACAAAATAAAATAGAGTTTAAGCTGTTTCCTTCCAGTTACATGCAGCTGGGCCTCTGCTTTGTACATAAGACACACCAGACCACTTTGCTTTTCCTCTTCTCACAGGCATTTTCATATCTTGAAAACATGGTTCTGTTTGCATGCCCGCCTCCCAATCCTTCTTACCTTTCTGGACCACAGAAATCTAATGGAGATAATCTCATCCCTCATTTCAGTGTTTTATTTTTGCATACTGTGTACTGAATTGTCTGACTGCAAATCCATTCTTTGCTGTGGCCTGTGTCACATCCTCTTATTCTTGCTGATAAGTATTCAATTAATGCATAGGAATGAATAATACTGAACTGTTCTTATTGATATTTTTAGTTATCAAAATCATTTAAATACATTAAAATACATATCAAAATCTTCATCCTTTGAAAACTAGTTTTATAACACCTTTGTTGTGCTTTTCATGTGCTTTTAGCTTTATGAGCAAATTCATAAGCAATAATGTTTGTGTTACAGTGTCTGCAGTGGTGGGAAACCTGACAGCAAATCGTGAAAGACTCCTTCCGTCACACACTTGCATTTCACAATGAGCAACTGAAACGGCTACTATTCGGAACTGTAATTACAGGATTATTAGCCAGATGTAAAGTAAACTTTAATTAAAAGAAGCTTGGACTATGTATTCCTCTAATGATTCTCCCACCTATAATATACAGGGGCTACAACTGTGTCAGTTCTTGCCAACATATCACAGGGACATAATTACATTGGGTTGTAGCTGTTATAGTGCATGTGAATGAATCTGTTTGGGAGTCTAATTTGCAGTTCCTTTATGCTTAATAATATTGAGCATATTTTTATGTCTGTATTTCCTTTATGACTGATAATACTGAGCATATTTTATGCACATTTTCTGTATATGGTCCTAATTATGCTGATTTATATTAGTTTTTTTCTGTAGTTTTGAAGGAGTATGTTATATTTGAAGAAAAAAATCTTCAATGGTTATAAAACTTGCAAATATATTTAGTCTATTATTTTCATACTTTATTAGGTATGTATTTTAAATGACAAATACATTTTATATGGATGATTTGAATTTATATTTAAAATGATTATTGCTTATTAGATACCACAAAACTAAAATCATGGTTTTTTTATTATAAAATATTTGTATTACTTTTACATTTATTTATATTTTAAATTATTTGTAATGTGCAGAATTAGAAAGGTATCCTTTCATTTTTCTGCAAAAAAAACATTTCTTAATTTCAGTTATTTAAAAGATTACCTTAGGTGACTTAAATTGGGAAGATGGCATCAATTAAATACATACATAAAAATGCAAAGAAACATTTTGGTATAGAACTAATTTTGCATTACTTTAAAATTTTCTGTTGATATATTAGCTTTATATCAGTACCAATATTCTATTGATCATATTACCTTTACAGAAAAATTAGGTAAGTTTTTAAAAATGTCTTTCAATTTTGTCTTATCTTGCCGTCTCTTAGACACTGACATTAAAATCCATATTTAGAAACTATCTGTGTAGTATATCCAAAATTTCCTTTTATTTAGAATAAAACTATGATTTAATTCATGTCTAGATGAAGTAATCAAGGTTCTGTATATGATAGCTTTGAATACAGAAAATACCCGTATTAAAAATTAGATATACATTGTATTGTATACTAGTGCCTTTACCCGTAGAAATACATTGCAAGGGCCCTTATGTATGTGTGAAACTATGGAAAATCCTAGAACCTGTATACAGTGCTTTATTCTGTGTGCATATCTGTAGTACGTTTAAGTTTAAACTATAAGCACATTGAGAAATTAACAATTTCTCATTTACGGATTTTAGCAATCTCAATGCAATGTTATTTTGCGTTCTCTAAGGAAAGAACTTATTCAGTCAAAAACTTTCACCTTTTTCCTCAAAGAAAACACTACGTCTTCTTTCAGGCTTATCCAAATTGCCAACATAACTAATACTGGGCTTTGCACTTTTGCTGAGTTAACAAAAAAGTCACTTGACCACAAGAATGCAATGCCATAATCTGAAAACCAAAATTTCTACTGTTAACGATTTAGCATGTACAATGTGGAAATGATTGAGAAAGCAACAATTAATGTTCGAAGCAGAATAGAGAGGAATGGAATTAGATTTCATTGTAGTACTGTGAAGGGTGTAAAATTTAACCCTTACGAATGACTTTTTTTAATATAATTCCACAGATTACAGACACAAAGCCTGTAGCTAACTGAAAGTGTGGAAAGCAAAAACACAAATAAGAGGTGCTACAGTTTTGATCTTCAGTGCTTAAGTGTTGAAGGCTTGGTCTCAAGTTTGAGACCATACTGACAAGCGAAATGAATCAAACTGACATGTACAAATACCGTACAGTCTTCTTAGAGTAAGAAATGGTAAGAATACATCAAAGTGTATGGTAATCATGATTCCCCATTATATTGATTTGAAGCCTTATGAGGTTTTCATTCATTATTGGAATGGTTTTATTCTCATTGTTTGATTTTATTTTCTGTGATGCTATGAACAGGTATTTTGATGAAAACAAGACATTATCATAGCTAGTGCTGATTTAATATCATCCTACCATGCTTTTGTTCTTCTGTCTCCATTGGTTTTATCATGTTGTATCTTATTGGATTTTATTATGTGTGATAGTATAAACATGTTTTTTTATGGACAAGTAGATAATATAGTAATCATTGTTCATTTTCTATTAGTTGGTTCTGAATACCCCATAATACTTTCATTCTTTTTAATGATTTTATACTATTTTGTTAGGTTTGATATTATAGTGTATAAAGGTATATTCAAATATTTCAAGAAAAGAGACACTATGGTAGCTAGTGTTATGTCAGGTTGTCTTGTGGTGAAACACTATGTTGCTTAAATTGTTCTGTTCTGAGCTGTTTTGTTATGTTCTCTTTTATCTTCTTAAAATTAAAAAAAAAAGTGGGTTGAAGGCTTGGTAGAAGAGAGTGAAACCTCTGATAGGTGGAACTTGCTTGGAGGTACTTAGGTCATTAAAACCAAATCTCTGCAGAGGATCATGAAATTCAGTGTATTCCCTTCCCTCTATTGTTTCCTAGCCATGAAGTTACAAGTTTTGCTTCACTGCACGTACTGTGTCACTGCAAGTCAACACCCCCAGAGACTGGAATCTCTCAAATTGAACCAGCACAAAACTTTTCTTTTGTAATTATGCTTTTTTTTGTAATAATGGAAGGGTAAGTCACCCAAGGAGAACTACAGCACATTCTAAAGGACTTGTAGTACTTTAATTCTTTTATTAAAACCACTTCAAACTGCATTTCTGCTATATTAAGTGATACTTAGATTATAATTTTCCAATTTATTTTCTAAACATTTGCAGAACTATACTTGAAAATTGTGGAATTCACTTAATTTCATTACTTAGTCAATATTCAGAAGTTTCTGCATAAAAATCAAATAAGTAGGAAATTGATGTGTAATTACTAAAATCTTTGTGTTCTTTTTGCCTTATTGTATAACCAAAGTAATACTGATAATGAGTGTAATCGCAAACAGCAAACACCAAAATAATCATTTAATCATTCTTCATTAAAATACTTCTATTACTATTGAATTAGTTTTTAACTGTAGAAACCTTCAAAAATTTGACTGCAAGTTTAGAGTATAAGTTGAGAATGGAGAAAAGTGGTACTATCAAATAAAAAGTGGCACCAGATTTGACATAGTGGTTATCTTAAAGTTAACTTTGAAGATTATATAAACTGTGTGCAACTTTTTCCAGGAAATGCATTTTTGTTACATACCAGGGTGCAAATGTCTGAAAATTCTGTGAGCTTATAACACAAATTTTTAGCAAATGCATCTTTTTCTTTCTTCTCAACAAGATTTTCATGCAGGAAAAGATGGAGTTTGTCTTTTGGTTTATATTTAGCTTACAATTATTCTTGATGATATATCCTTTATTATGGCTCATTAATGGTTATGTATTTGCTGTTTTGCTGTCTTTAAACACCAAGTCCATTCATTGTAAGATAAATAATTGCAAACTACATTCAGATATGAAATGTAACTAAGTTAATGCATATGTGTAATATATAAAGGATATTGTAGCATATAATTTATTTATTAGAATAATTGATTTTATAATTAGGTAATTTTCACATTTTACTAGAGAATGCACTTCTTTTATAACTACATTTTAAGTGATTTTACTGCACAAAAGATAATTTTTACAGTGACTGAAATTCAATAAAATTTCACTTGTTAACTTGTTTTTTATGAAAAATAATATATAACATCTTTCAATTATTTAGATAATTATAAACTGTGGAAACCCTGTAATATAACCTTAAGTTATCAACAAATAGCTGTATAAAATATTCTTATACTGTGTTACTTCCAGCCTAAAGGAACATGATATTCTGTAGAGAAGATTAAAGACTAATCCTAGGAGATACAATTCAGGTAATAATGACATTTCTTACAATGAACTCACACTACAGGAGAATTATAAATGCCAAAATTGTATGTTCACACAGAGACATATCTACATGCATGCCCACACAAAAATATTTAATGTCACTGTAGAAACCAAAGAGCAGGCAAAATTTGGAGATGGTTTAACCCTTTAAAATTGAAATGCACACTTGTATGCTTTACTCCTGAGGTTGTTGAATTTCAAGAGAAAGATATACATATATATATATATTTTTTTTTAAGCTAGACATACTGTAAAATGTTGCTCAAGTCTATCTGCCCAGCTGAAAGTTGATGCGTGAGATCGTTGTGAGGGGAATTCTGAAATAGGAATTCCTGTAAGCTTTTGATGACACCAAGCACTCAGTGCTCAGATTAAAAAAATCAGAAATAATAAAATGACGCTTCATTTGAAGATTCCTTTTAATAGTCAAAACAATAAACATTATAAAAGTGTCAGATGAAAGACAGTAAAGTTATCAGAGTATCGGGCTGCCAACTGGTGTAATATGAATGATCATCAGCAGTTTATCAGTGACAGGGAAACAGACACCACAGAGTTCTGTCAGGTAATTGTAAGTATCTTGCATTAACCTGGTGAGAGGAAAAAGAATATCCACTGTTCAGTCAAATATAAACTCCACCCACATGTGATCACATGATGTGATCAAACTTTAAAATTTGCTTTTTATGAAAATAATTTATAGAATTTGGATAAGATTTTATAAATTTGAGCATATTAAATATCCTAATCCAAACTTAATATAAAGAGTAAGACCTTTCCTGTGAATATACTAGTTTTTATTTTTCTAAGATTCATGAATATGTACATATATGTGTCCTCAAAATGCTCTATAAGACAAAAATATTCAGATTACTCTTATTGTCAGAAAAATTAAAATGAAGCATTTTCTTTAATTAAATTTATAAAATGTTAAATAATATAACACATATCAGGTACAAATGCATTAAAAAGAATTATACATTGTTAAAGTCTCTTAACCTTAAATAGCTACATGTATGAATTTTAAAGAGGCTTTGTATTGTTTATGCCTAAATTATTTTCTTGCTACCCCACCAACTACATTAGAAAACTAGTGCTAACAAATAATTAACATTTTATATTCATAGAAAAGTGTGCATGACAATATATTTGTATCTTTTTTTTTTTTTTTCTTGAGAGAAGATCTTGCTATGCAGTTCAGGCTGCCCTTGAACTCCCAGAGATACACCCACAAAAAAATACTGAGACTCAAATTGTTTTCCAGTCTCTTTCCTTGCTTATTTCTACAGTATCAAACCTCTTATTTCTATAGTATCAAAGCAAATGATCATAGTAAGTGGACTGTAAACTGAAATATTGAATCCAAATAAGCCCTCCTTTTGTTAAGTTGGTTTTCTTAAGAATTTTGTCACAATGACAATATGCTATCACAATGATACATCACAAAATTACCCCAAAGAGAGAAATTATGTAATGATTTCAGTTGATGCAGAAAGGCATTTGACAAAATTGAACATTCATTAATGATTAAATCTCTAAATATACTAGTTATTGAAGTAGCTTGCATGATTGGAATAAAGATCATATATTAAAGGCTTACAGTCAATATAATCAATAGGGACAATCTAAGAACTTTTCTTAAAGATCTTTTATAAGGAAAGAAAGACAAGTTCACTGAAAATCTTTACCAAGACAATTACTTTTTCTTGAGGGCAAGGATTGTTTGAGACAGGGTCTTGCTATTTAGTGCAGGCTGGTCTTGAACTCATTTATGTAATGCAGTCTGGCCTTGAACTCATGGTGATCCCCCTGCCTCAGCCTCCCACATGCTGGGATTCCAGACATTTATCACCATGCCTGGCTGCCAAGACAGCTAGACAGTAAAAAGTGACAAAAATAACCTATATTAAAATCAAAGATGATCAACTGTTGTTACAGATAAAATGGTTATATATGTAGTGAACACTGAAGACTCAAAAAAAAACAGTTATTTTTGATAAATTCCTGAAAACTCCAGAATCATGAAATATCAACCATAGAGACTGAGGAGTAGCTGCATTTTGTATTATGTTCCTAGCATGGCGATGCCTAAGAATTGTGGATTCAGTGTCCAGCATCACCGAACAAATATAGAACCAATAATAATAATAATAATCAGTAGTGGTTCTACATGCAAATAATTAACCAGTAAAAAGAGATAAGAGGCCAGGCACGGCCACACAGCCTTACTCCCAGGACTCTGCAAGACTGGACAGAAGATGTACAAATTAGAGCCCCACGAGGCTCACTTAGTGCTTAGAAACTTCCTTCTCAAGAAAAGGTATTTTAAAAGACCTGGGGATGGAGTTTAGTGGAGAGCTCTGGTTTCAATACGCAGAATGACAGAAAGTTTAAAAGAAGTGATTGAGAAAAAAATCATATATATATTTGGCAACAAAAAGAATAAAATGCCTGGGAATGAATTAAAAAAAAGAAAAGAATCACTAAAATTATAAAACAATAGTGGAGGAAATTAAAGGCAAAAAATAAAGTACTCCTAATATTCACTGGTTTAAAGATTTGTAATTGTGAGTAAGTCCAGAGTATGGAAAATAACCTGCAGATTTAATGGAAGTCCTAGGTGCATTCTTCACATAAATAGAAAAATATATTAAAATTGATATAAAATCACTAAAAACCTAAAGTGGTAAAAGCAACCTTTGAAAAAAAGAACAAATCTGTAAGTGTCAAAACTTCTGATATTAATTATAGTTTAAAAATACAGTAGTCAAAATGCACAAGATAGAAAATAAAATTCACTGTAAATATAGAACATTAGAACAATAGAGAAGTCAGAAATACATATATATTCACATATGCATACATATAGATACTGAAAATGTGTGATAATTAAAAAATATTTGTATGTTTTTATTCTTATTTTGATCAGAAAAATTAAGCTTCATATTTTCTTATTTTAAATTTGCATTTGCCTTTACATAGGCAATAATTGGGACATTAACTTTTTAGTTATGTTTTGGTTAAAGTATGTTAACGACAATAGATCTTTCTAAAACATAAATAGTTTCACAAAATCTTGATACAATTCTTGTTTATATAAATGTAATCTCATCAAAAGCAAGATTGTTTATCCATATATTTTTTAGAATTTTGAGGGAATCTTGCATTGAATATGAGGCACTTAAACAATCTGAGCGAGAGAAAGGGATCTCCCAAAGGGATGAAAGGGAAGGGTGCAATCTGGTTCATGTAGTCTACATTGCGGATCTCAAAAAAGCACAGGCGGTTTTATGGCATTAACTATTATTTTAGCAACACAAAAAATTATGTTTTGTAAAATGAGCCGGACACTAAAGAATCCTCACCTTATTTTTTAATTTTTTAAGTCCAAGAACTAGAAAAAGTGTTCTGGGCTAACAGAAATAAGCATGGTTATCTGTTAGGATTTGAAGGAGGAGAAACAGCTATCTGACATGAGGGAAATAATTTATATGTTATTTTGTATGATGAATATGCAGATTGTATAATAGTAATATCTCATAAATAGTCACGCATGATCTTCAAATTTGTAGTACATATGCATGATACATTCATTTTAAACCATTTTCATTTTTAAATGTTGATTCTCATTTTTAAAATGTTTCTATTATTAGGTTTATATCTGAGTTTGCATTTTTTAAAAGAAACAACCATATGCTTTTTTAAGGAAACAAAGAATACAAAGATTAGCATTGTCTTTTTTTTCCACACTTGATTTGACAGTCTACATTTATCAAGTATGCAGTAAATATTTGCAGTATTTAATATAAAGATAGACACTTCCTCTTCAAAATATGCACTAAAATATAAGTTCTCCTGCAAAATATGTGAACATTTTCATGAATTTATTCATTCACTAATTTTCAGTTTATTTTCTTTAAATACTTTGCATATCTATTAATTAAAAATCTGTTAGGTTCCAGTTACATGGTAATATACAAAAAATTATCTAGGTTGCCCTCACACATGAGTTTGTTTTTTTTTAATGATTTACGGAAAACAGATTATATAATGCAAGATGTAATGAACAGATACTCTGAAGAAGAGATGCTAAGAAACCCGAGGCTAATTTTGTAGCATTATGATATTAATTCTAGCAATACTATTGTTCGCTGATTATAATGGCATTGGTCTGGTCTCTTGAGTTCAATTTCAGCATATGTACAGATGGGGACAACTATCACAAAGAGAATGAGAGATGCGATGGTAGTTATTATTGTCTTCCCTAATGTTAGATCTTGAAGACCTAAAAAGCCTTCATCATCCTGTAATGATTTGATTAGTTCTATAATATGCAATAAGTATATAAAGTGGGTGAAAATGGGGACAACTATTTGTAAGAAACTAGAGACAGTTAGATAGACAGTGAAGATCTCCAGTGGACTTGGTTTGAAATCATTTCTTCAAATTGTTTTTTTTTAACTGTTTTGTTCTGTTTTGAGATGTTTAATCTTACCCTCTTTGAGATGTAAAAAAAATGTGTAGGACTGATAACCATATTACTGAGTTTTTGTTCGATCATTGAGCAGAACTTTTTTTAGTGTCACTTTTTGAATGTCATTCTAAATACTTTAATTCCATAACCTGAACAGCTATTTCTAAGATGACAAAATGTAACTTATCAACCAGCAATTTCTTACCGTGTGTTTTTCTGTAATTTTGTATTATTTCTACCCTTTTTTTATCTCCATGTATTTTTTGTTTCCTTTTCTTTAAATAAAATTTAAAAAAATACTCCTAGAACAATCTGAATACAATGATTCCAATGGTCATTCTACTGGTTACTTTGTTTTGACATTTGTACTTTAACCAGTGTGCAAATATTCAAAATATTAAAATCAAAATTTATGTGTTTTACTTATGCTACAATTTCTTTAATTTTTTCTTCCCATTCTATTAACAAATTTAAAATTTGTTTGAATAGGTACCATATTATATAGATAAACCTAAACTTCCTTGCTATAAGCAAGGAAGATTTTATGAACTGTTTAATTAAAATAGCCTAAATTACTTACATTAATACAGGTTACAATTTATAGGGTATGTAGATATATCCCAAACTGTGCTTAAATGTATGTGAAAAATTACAAATTACATTAAAATTACATAAATTTATACAATGTGACGTATTTATGTCTATTTGATTAAGTGTGGAATATAAAATTATTTCCCAGCAATTTGTATTTCTGAAATTTTAAAAAATAGCCCGCTACTTTAGAAGCAATATACGCCTATATACAGTATATGTAACATCTGAAAATCAAATTTCACTCAGATTTGTTATTTAACTTAGAAAGATGAGCCAACAATATTAAACAGCTGATGAAATATACCATGTATTTGAATTCCATTCATGCAGGATCTTGGACTGGAGATTTAGCTTAGCAGCATAAGCATGTGCCTGGCAAGCCGGACATCATGAGTTTGATCCCTGGTACAAAAAAAAAAGAGAATCTTATGGCCAAAGCAAGTTCATATTAATAATTTTTACTAAACACCTGCACCTCAGGCACTGCAATGAATTCTAAGTAGTGTATTTCTTGAAGATGATACTGAAACTAATAAAGATCAAAAATAATATCTCATTTAATCCTCCTACTAAACTCAGAAAAAGTGATAGGCAATCTATATATTTTATAGATGATAGAATGCTATTTTCTGAAATTACTTCATATTTGTAGTAACTTAGAAAAAGTCATAGGGAACCTATATATTTTATAGACGATAGAATATTAGTTTTCTAAACTGAGACAACAGAACACAAATATAAATATATCTTAACTGCAAGAAATATTCTTGTGATCTGATTTATGCTCTTAAATTATTAATAGTAACTCACAGTAGTATTGCAAAAATTTGGACTTCAGAAAATAGTTGAAATTCTATTTCCACAGGTGTATATAAATCTCTAACACGAAGTAGAAAAACAAAAACCAAATAAAACCAAGCAAAAAGTCCATTTGAAGTGAGTTTAAAACAAGCAACTGACCCAACAGACATACATAATTTATACTCAGAGTACTGTTTAAATTAAATGTTCCTTGTGATTTAATTCCTGTTTGGGGAATATCAAATGCATTAATGAAGATTAGTTCATGCAGATTACAGAGAATCACTTTCCCCTATGAAAATAATCAGTGAATTCCGAGTAGACTTCAGCTTTGTAAAAGACAGCCACACATTCTTGTTGAGCATTCATTCTTGCACTGTGAGGAGAAAGGAGAGCAGGTCATGACTGAATTTCACGCTCCTGTGACCTGCAAAATAATTCACACAGTTATCAGGGCATTCATTCAATTTCCTTATTACCTGCCATCTGTGATACACAGATATGCTAGATTAAAGATCAACCTTCTCATTTTAAGCCCAAATAAACTCCACATATTTAATGGCAAAAATATTTGTCATTATGTATATTCTGAAGTATCACTCTTGATCTATGTACAGTATGTCCGAGAAAACTAAGTTTTTGAAGCAAAAGTTCTTACAGATTCACAATTTAATTCACAAATTACATTTAAACTACATTAGACTATATTTTCTTATACTATATTTTATATACTTATACTTTTCTTATATTTTGTTATACTGTGTGGCCTAGCATTATAGTTATTTTGTGTGCTCAAATTAACAGAAACATTTGTGCACCCATAATGGGCCATAATGAGAAACAGTTACTGAAGAAGTTAAAATTTTGCCAGCACAAACACATTGCATAATAATCTACTTCTTTCTGACTCTGCTTTAAGACACACAGAGAAAAAAAGCAAGTGGACACTCAATCAATATATTCTTTATAATTATTCTATTCCAACAGATGAAAAACTCAGAAAAAAGGACACGGGACATGAAGTTACCAGTGAAGGAAAGAATGTAATGAAAATTTATCTAACAGACCAATTTGGAGAGAAGTTGAGAGCATATCTCAGGGAGCTTTCACACTCATGAATTGAAAAGCAAATAGCAACAAACCTCCATGATTTGCTTTGAGGAATTAACCTAATAGAAAAATTGAATTAAAGAGAGGTCTACAAAACAAACAGCTGAATGGATGTTGTTAATGCACTTTCGAAATTTAAACTCCTGTATGGTAAGTATTTAAAAACAGCACTTCTCTAAAATATTTAGCTATATCTATGTCTGACTACATATACACAATTCTAATAATATATATTCTCATAAGAAAGATTTGAACTTTAACTGTTACTGTAAACCCATGCATAAAGAGTACCTAGGTATTCAAGGGACAACATGATTTCCGTTCAAACTATGCTATATAGTTTCTTTAACAAGATATTTACCTTAGTTTTAATGCATCCAAATGCTAATTTTATCCATAAAACTCAGCTAATTAACGCTGTACTTGGCCCTGAAGCTCTAACCGTTGCAATCCCTCCTGACCCCCTTCATCCTAGGGATTGGACTCTACTACTTTTAGAACATGGCTCATTAATTATTTTTACCTCACAAAATCCTCCATGAAGCATATTTGTCAATACCTCAAGTGCTTCTACATAAACATTTTATGACTTCCCAGTCAACAGATATAACCGTAGATTCCAACATGGCCAGTTAGAGTAGGAGATGTGCTGGAGATACTTGGAGGAGAGTCACTGAAAAAGAAGTAGTGTTCTGAGATGTGAAGGGAAACTGCACTCAGGAAAGAAAACCAGTCAGAAGAATAATCACACAGATCTTGCCAATATCTGGATTGTTGAAAAAGTGAAGCGGCACGGCCACTGGTCCTTGGTTCCACCTTCTCCCTTTACCCAGAGGCCACATCATCTAAAGAGGAGTCCGAATCACCAGTGAGGGAGACAGCACTGCAATGGCCAAAGCCTTGCACAGGTCCCTTCACTCTCACCCTCCCACCTGGAGGAGGAAATCCAGTGTAGCAGTGCACTGTGGTTGAGGCCCCAGGGAAGCCACAAGGGCAGCTGGATAGAAGAAGAAAAAGCAACATGGTAGTCTTTCCCTACCCCCATCATCCTCCCTGAAAATGGGAACAATTCTGTCCCGCATTATCTTACCTCCACCCAGCCTCTAGAACGAAAGCCTCCACAATGCAGAGACATGCTGAACTCCAGAGCTGTGGGAGATGCTGAGTCCACTAGCAGAATTCCTGGACCACATGCCTAGACATATAGGGGAGGGAGACAGACTGAACAAAAGGAGTGAAGAGTAGGCAGTTTCCGACTGTTTCCCCAAACACAGGAGAGATTAGAAACAGCAGGAAACCCACCCACTGCCTGTTGACCCTCCTGAACATAGGAGATAGTCTACTAGGGCCAAGAGGACTCCAACCAGTTCTGTGGGCTGGCAAGGTTTTGAGTGAGCGATGGTTGGGGATTTGAAATTGAAGGAACAGAGGAGTCTTCTAAGACCTAGAGCTTCTTGTGACACACTGAGCGGGAAGTTCCTGGACAAAAAAACGCTGAAATGAACCCTGGCTTTTGCCCAGCAGTGAAGGGAGCAGGAATGGAAGGTTGCCAGTGAAAGATGACAAGAAGCCAGCGGTCAGACACAGTATTTCACCTAGTCTTCCCAAATTAGTTGACATATTTGGATCTTGGAACAGAAACATACCTGCAGTCAAGCACAGACAAATCAGATCCTGCAGCCAGGAAGTCTGTCCAGAGAGACCTACAGCCCTCACCACCCCCAGGCAGGCGGTGGAGCAGCCCACAGGCAGGGAAAATTCAGGTTCAGTGCATGGAAGCAGACTATGACTACAGTGGGAAGGGAAAGGGAACACTGTGACTGCACGGTAAAGCGGCCACATGGTGTGGGACAGGGGTGTTTTCTTCTATGTGTGTATGTTGTGGGTTCTCTCCAGGGTTTTCTCTTCAATGCTTAATTACAAATTTAGTTTTAGTTTTTTTTTTTTTAATTTTGCAAGCTTTTACATCTTTTACTCTTCTCTTTCTCAGTCTTCTTCTTTCTCATTTTAATTTTCTCACCTACCTAGTTTATTCTTCATTTCTTTGTACTTTGGGCAACAGATATATAGCAAGTGCTTGTAATGTACACAGCAGAATAAGATTAGACCAGTGTTTTAACTTAAATGGCAGCGTTCACGGTTATGCTGGGGTAACCTTCAATATAATGTGCTTACAGGATCCCACTAAATCTAACCACAAATGTGTTAGTAGGTTCTGACAACTCCACAGCTTCCCTCAACTTCCAGTTATTCTGTCCTTTCACTGCAGTCCTCTCATGCGTCCCAAATATTCTTTTAAACTCACCAGCACTAACCCTTTAGTCTAGCTATAAAATGCCTCCAACAGTGTCTGACTTTGTATCTTATCCATAAACATTCTCTTTTCTCCTTTCTCCTTATTTTCCCTGATTTCCCCTTTCTCTGTACTTCCCTTCTTCCTCATCCCACATTAACTGTCAATAAATACAGCATAGTTTGGAATTGGTGCTAATACAAGGGGAAAATTATAATTAAATGGTTTAATGTTTATTATTGATGGATGGTTAGATCTGTAGATGGTATAACCTGTAGGAATCTCTACAATAACACAGTAACTGGATACAGCCCAATTCAACTGAATAGAATAAAGTAGCAAATAAAAGCCTCTAGACAACTAAAGCTAAGATCATATCAGTAGAAAACAGAACCTAACTAAAGAGATCTTCATAACAACAACAAATTTTCACTCTATTTGACTTCAACCATCAGCACATACACATACCAAAAAAAAAAAAAAAAAAGGGAACATGAAAAAATGGGACAGAAAATGATTCCAAAGACTCCCAACTCTCTTTAAAAAGACTCAATGGCACTGACAGAGTGAAAGGCAAACATGAGCGGCTGAGCAGCATGAAATGACTAAAACAGACACATGGAAACTCAGCAAGCTCAAATACTATGTCACCCACAAAATGGTTGAACTAAAACACAGTGTCCAATGGATTCTGACAAAAACCAAAAATTAAAAGACCTGATCAAAGCTATTTCAAACATGAGTAAATAACTTACCAAAAAAATAGACTCCATGAAAACAGAAATCCTTTAGAGATAATGAATTCTACTGAATACGAGCAATGACGAACTGGAAGTATCAGACCTCAAGGACAGGATGGAAATAAAAGATGTTATACACACAGATATGTTAAAAATAGCATAGCAAGATTAATAAGTGCTTACTAGATGTTGCTGAGTCTAACTCAAGGAAAACTGGAGTTAGAGGGTACCACATACAATATAAAATATCTGTTTAAAGAATCAAAACAGAAAAAAATAAGGAAAACTAAACATTTAAACTATGTGAGGCTTATAGAACAAGAAGTAATGATTTTTAAAAGGCCCCCATTGCACATCATAATCAAAATTTGAGAAGGCCAAACCAATGGACAGAGTCATAAAAGTTGTCAGTGAAAAGCCAAAGATCACTTGTAATTGTATTAAATAAGGCTTTTTTAAACAAAAACTTTAATACATTCCCACCAGCTTGAACCGCCAATGTTACAGGCATAACTGTTACATCAGGTAGCTTGCACGACTGGTAGTGACAATGGATGTGATCAGTTTTATTGGTCTTTTTACTAATAAAATTAATAGTAACTTGATGGGACAGTCATGCATGTGCTGATGGTGGTTCAAACCACTCAGCAATGAGACCTATGAATTGAGAACTATGAATTATGGTCTCATCACAAACATATTAAAGACTAGTAGAGGGTGGACTGAACTCTATCCAGCACTAGAAGT